CTTTTTTTACAGTGAATCAGTCTATATGGCTAATACACTATATTCCAAGCTTTCTTAAATCATATGATAGCTTTGTGTGAGCAAAAGACGAATCATTGATGAATCATTCATGCAGATTTAGCGAAATGAATCGACTGATTCATTAAATAAACGTGCCAAGAGTAAAGAGTTCAGATTCATAAAGGTTTGGAATGACATACGGGTGAGTAAATGGTTAACTATCAAAAATATAGTCAAAAATATATCAAAAAGTCATAACTAATCAAACAAGTACAAAAAAAATATAGAAAATGCTGCAACATTTAGTATGGGCATGGAGATGGCCATTAAACCTTCTTCAAGTTTCGCCTCGCTCGGAGCGTTTCCTGTTTGTGTCATAGGGTGTTGTGTAAGAGTGGGGATACGGTCACCGCATGGGACTCTTGTCAAAAACATTAAATGAATACAGCTGGAGTCAGCAAATGACACTGGCTATTTTGCGCAGAGAAACACTGTTTTGCATTGTTTGTTTTTTAAGCTTTACGGTGAACTTTCTCCATTTTAAGACAAAAACAACTACATATTCATGAGGGAGGGATGGAGGCTGTGATTATGTCAGCCATCAAGCATTATTAGAGGTTCCACCCTGAGATCAAGCACAGATGATTGGGTCTTTATTAGTGTAGCACACAACTTATCCAGAGCTTTGCGAGTTCAGCTGCACCTGGCAAAGTCTCTGATCCTGACAGCTGCGGAGCTGGAGACACACCAGACACACGTGCGCATACATACATAAACAAGAGTAGACATATTTGAATACTATCAAACAGACACGCTTTACCTACAGCGGCTCAGACAGGTCTCAGATCAGGTTATAAGAAGAACGACCTCTCTTATCTCTTTTCTGCAGCTGCCACAAACATTCCTCATGTGCATGTAAACACAGGCCAGATACGGCGTGTAAGAACAAAGCGCAATGCGGTTCCTCTAATGCGAACGTCTCACTATCGAGATTTGATCGCATTTCCTGCACTGTTTTTACCAGCTGTAATTAGGGAGCATGTGTACTTGATCCCACTTAGAGACACAGATCAGAGGACTGTTGTGTTGTAGAAGGACCCGTACGAAAGCCCATTTAGATTTAACATTTACGCTAGGGTTTGCGTACTACTGTGTGCTTGATGTGAATTTCATCATCAGCACAGTATCCACAAACTGAACGAAATCCCAGACAGATTTTTCCATCTCGCTTATGCGCTTAGATTTTTATAGCACTAATTAGTTTGGCCACAAGGTGGCAACACTGGCGGATAAACGGATAACAAGAAAAACAAAACGACCATAGAAACCCATGTTGGCTAGTTTGTCTGTGGAGATCAAGAGATACTCATAACTCTAGTTTAAATGAGTACAACAACATTTTTTTTTTTTCACTAACGTTTTAACATTTGGAGAAAAATAGCGCAGACAGTGGACAAGCATGAATCTTTCTAGTGTGTTCATGCACATATACTTTGAAAGGCTATGCACTTGACTATACTTGAACTTTGTCTATCATCAATATAGTAGCGATGTATGTCAAGGACTTTAGATATTAAAAAACAGTGAACTTATATTATTTATGAATGGGAGAAAGTGCAACACGCAATATGGCAGAATAAGTCCCGTCTTCGGAATAAAAGAGCCAATTGCTGATGGATAAGTCATTGCATCACTGCAGTTGTCGACCAATAGGGTGGTTGCAGCCCTCAACTGGTGTTGATGTTGTCATTTTGTGTTTTGTTCTGATGCGTCACCCTCCACTGATCTACCAATCACGGAGTCAGTAGTGTTGCGGCATTCGGGTTGCCAGCTCTTCTCTAGTTACCACAGCTGCAGATGCAAACGTGTCGGAATCTGATTAAAAAAAAATGAATCCGAAATACTTTGTTACAAAGTCCGAAATAAATAATTAACAGAAAAAAACCTCACTGTGTTGGACTCGTCACTTGCAATTGGAAGCTTCTAGTAGCAGCCTATTCCTGCTGGATCCTGCAGCATATCTGGCAACCTTGAGTCATGAGGGAAGGGGGGATACAGCCTAATTTGAAAGTGATTGCAGTACCAGTTTTGGCCACAATCTTGCATACAGCTCCTTTAAATCCAAAAGCATATGGAAAATGGGGATGCTAACGCCCAGTGGGCCTACAAAGTGACGTCATACCATACGTGCACCAAACTTTATGCGCTTTAACGGTTAGCGTTGTAAGACATGCACTTAGAAGCCAATTCACCCTGCACGACAGACACCAACCAATGAGGACAATCACTGGATTACAGTATGTCACTTTTCAGACATTCCAAGACCCGATAAATGCTGATTCAACATGTTCAATCGGCAAAAAACGAGAGCCAGCCAACACCGACGTGTTGCAGACACTGATCCGACAGGACCAGACAACCTGTACATGTACATTGGCTGGTCTAGCCTGAAATATAAGCTGTTTTAAATGCAAAAATGAGTCATAAGAAACAGCATTTATGGGACAGTTCATGTCAGATTGTGTTGTTGATTTAAAATATATGTTAGTGTGGCAAGCAGATTTTAAAATTCCCTCATTCAAGTTGATAGACTTGGTTTTGGTTGCCCGAAATAGCCGCTCGGAGGAGTTGCAAATATGGTAGCCGAGTGAACGGACTTTCCTTAAAAAAGGACTTCGATGAAGCGCAGTCACTTTCAAACCAATCACGCAACCAACTTGAAACTGTAGTGAAATCTGCGAAGGGAAATCTTGAGAATTTTCCATCGTGTGGATTCTGACTGAACTTTTCCCTTGAAAATTTGGCATGTGATCCCTGCAAAAACACGGCCCTTGACTGATCTTCGAGCTCCGCCAACAGGTTGCTTAAGCACCTTACGTGGAGATGTTCTATGTTAGTTGACCAAGAAATCACCACAGGCTACTGATGAGAATCATGTGCCAGCATTTCCATTGGGATACACAAATAACAGTATAATGAATCTTGTGACTGTTTTTGCCAATAACAAATGCCAGCAAAACAAGAAAAACACTATTCTGAGAAAGCAAGAATGCAAGCATTGCCAGGTTACACATCAACAAACTAATGTAGTTGCATGAGCAGAGATGACAGCTGAATACTCACCCTAAAGGAGATGAAGCGGAGTTAAAGGTGAATGAATAGATTTTAAAGCAAAGCAAAAGCATGAGTGAAGAGAAAGGAGAGAATGGTTGTGTGGAGAGAGGAATATGAAGGCAAGAGAGGGAGAGAGGCAGGAAGCGCAGCCCTATCAATGTCTCAGAGGGGATCCGAACTCTTTTAAAAACATCCAAGGAACATACACGCATCGCATACGCACGCAAATGCTGGGCCAGAAACTGCCTCTGGGACACGTGAGAAAAGACCCTGTAATAGGCAGAAGTTTGCACTTAAAGGGTTCGTTCCGTCAACAATGAAAATGATCATAATTATCATTATTTATGCATGTTGTTCCAATGCTGTAGGCTGTTATTTTTTTACTGGAACACAGAAGGAAACTTTTAAAGATTCTTTCAGTTCTTTTTTCAATAAAATATTAAAAATGTTTATTATTATCAATAATATTTCTATGTAGAATTGAATTATTCATAATGGTCAAAATGTATTTATATATTTATATCTATTTATATTTTTCATCTTAAAAATACATTCGCTTGTGCCTTAACTAGGTTACTCAATAGAATTAAATATACTTTATCCCGTTCTCTTGACCCTGTATTGCCTTATTGTGTTTCACTGTAATTTGTAAATTTGCACTCCTGTGTTTTGTGTACTTATTTTTCGTACATTTTTCGCCTTATCTTGGCCAGGTTGCCATTGTAAATGAGAATTTGTTCTCAATCGGCCTACCTGGTGAAATAAAGGGAAAAAAATTACCTTTATTAATGTTAATGTGTGTGTGTGTGTGTGGGGGGGGGGGTATATATATAAAATAATATAATGTATATTTATTCTACTTATGTGTTCGACAGAAAATGATGACAGAATTTTCATTAATGGATCATTGGATAAACTGTCCCTTTAAGACCCAGTATAGCTGAATGGGCTTTATGCCCAGCTGCACTACTTCCTGAACTTCAGCCAGCTCCTTGTTTCCCGTCTTCCATTATTGGCCAAATTGATTCATTCAGGTGTGTCTGATTATTGTTGCCATGACTACTGAGGTCAAGCACACCTGAATGAATCAATTTGGCCAATAATGGCAGACAGGAAACAAGAAGCTGGCTGAAGTTCAGGAAGTAGTGCAGCTGGGCATAAAGCCAATTGTCCTAACACTTTCAGCGTCTTTTGTTGTTTGCTATCATGTCACCACATTTATATACATTTACATTAAAAAGGTTTTATGTCTAAAACATGACAAATGTCATCTGAAAAATGCACTGTGTGTAAATATTTATATAAAGTAGAAAACACTATCCAAAACACTTGAGGATGGCACGAGACTAAACAGAGAAGCTCAGAAAACATCAACCCTCCAGATGTAAGGATTGTTCATGAGTTAGTTAAGGGTGAATGAGTTGAATAAGTTAGAACTTCCGAAGGCTTAAATAAACCTGTATGAAAACTGTCCATGTTTCTTGGCGGTATAGATTGGTTATTATTTGCTGTTGCTTATTACTGCTTCTGCTGCAGAGCCAGTACAGGACTTGCTACTGCCAATACATACACATACATCAATTATCCATTGTGGATCTATATAGGTGGAGCTGAGGAAGGTGGAGGTTTTCGGAAAGTGTGCTGCAACTGTGAAGGCAAATGCTGACCAAGTATTAGAAGGTTGAGCTGTGAGTTTATTAGCTACTGACACAGCAGGAACCAATCAGCTGTGCCCAATAGAGAATGATGGGATTTCAGGGAGATTGAGTTACGGGTCTACGAGCCTGAGCCATTTCGAGTTTCATGAAAGAACTTTGTTCTCAGCGGAACATAAAATCAACTATTCCAACATAAAATCCACATTGATTGTCTGGGCTTTAACTCACCGATCCTTTCTCCAGCCACTCCATGAGGCTCTGTGCGGTGGTGCAGGGCAGCTGGGAGCGCAGTGACTTGCGGTCCTCGTCCCCGACCTGCAGCTCCAGTGTCAGTCTCAGCTCCTCCGCCAGCTGGAGAACCTGCAGGGGCCCGACACTCACAGGAGAGCCCAGGTCATAGAGCCCATTACTGAACTCCACCGCAGCCTTGGAACCTGCCGTCAGAAACATAAGGTACACTAAATAAGAATCCACCAAATGGTTCAATGCAATTCTTCTTTATTTCCTCCTCATGTTGCATCGAAACAGTCAAAATGTCTTAAAAATTACTTTGAAACAATTTCAACAGTAAATTTCACAAATAATTGCAAAAAATAAATGTGACTAAATTAAAGACTGCATAATGCAGGGTTACTATCGTTAACTAAAACTAAAATTATTAAAACATTTCTGTTAATTGAAATAAAGCTGAAAGAGGAGAATGGGCCGACTGGTTCAAGCTGATAGAAAAGCAACTTTGACTGAAATAAAAACTCGTTACAACCGAGGTATGCAGCAAAGCATTTGTGAAGCCACAACACACACAACCTTGAGGCAGATGGGCTACAACAGCAGAAGACCCCACCGGGTACCACTCATCTCCACTACAAATAGGAAAAAGAGGCTACAATTTGCAAGAGCTCACCAAAATTGGACAGTTGAAGACTGGAAAAATGTTGCCTGGTCTGATGAGTCTCGATTTCTGTTGAGACATTCAGATGGTAGAGTCAGAATTTGGAGCAAACAGAATGAGAAGATGGATCCATCATGCCTTGTTACCACTGTGCAGGCTGGTGGTGGTGGTGTAATGGTGTGGGGGATGTTTTCTTGGCACACTTTAGGCCCCTTAGTGCCAATTGGGCATCGTTTAAATGCCACGGCCTACCTGAGCATTGTTTCTGACCATGTCCATCCCTTTATGCCCACCATGTACCCATCCTCTGATGGCTACTTCCAGCAGGATAATGCACCATGTCACAAATCCCGAATCATTTCAAATTGGTTTCTTGAACATGACGATGAGTTCACTGTACTAAAATGGCCCCACAGTCACCAGATCTCAACCCAATACAGCATCTTTGGGATGTGGTGGAACGGGAGCTTCGTGCCCTGGATGTGCATCCCAAAAATCTCCATCAACTGCAAGATGCCATCCTATCAATATAGTCCAAATTAAACCTATATAGCAATATTTTAAAAGAAATGAAATAAAATGAATTACCATGAACAACACTAATTATATAAAAACAAAAACTAAAATAATACTAAATAGTATGTCCTTGTAAAGTGTACTCCAATAATCATTGTATTTATTCAAATCATTATTACAGTGTAAGTGAAAAAAGAGTGCAGGAGAGATGCACCATCACGCTATGTCATACATCATCACATCACATTACCCATCACCCACAGCACACCGCTGCAGCCACGTGTTGACTCCATCAACACTTCCAACTGTCCCCATCTGGATACTATGGAATGAGATGGAACAAATATACAGGAAGCACCAGAACATCTGGAAACCATCAGGATTCTATAACACTTTAAAAGTCTATGATGACATCGCACCATTTTTTAACAGCAGAATCACCAATAAGAACAAAGAGAGACACAGCTGACAACTGGATAGTGGCCACAGTCTCATTTTTTACCTTATGCAATTGCCAACACGTTATACAATTTTCCATTAGTTTAAAATCAGGTTTGTATCGTTTCCATATGTCTGCTAGCGTGTGTTTCCATACGTCTTCTGCTGCTACAAAGAATATGAGACCAAAATGTGCATAGCCTAACTGTTTATATAAATGCGCAATTTGTGCATTCAGGCGCAAGTGTTTTGTTTGGCTGAGAGCATGAAATGACCTCATTGGTGGCTTTAATGCAACCAATGAGGTCATTTCATACTCACCCCTCTCACAAATATTCCTTAGGTTTTGATAATCCAAAATAACCAAATAAATAAAAAACACCTAAAATAACCCAAATAAAACAAAAATAGAATAGAAAAACACCTAAAAAAATGAAAATCACCTAAATTAAGACAAAATGAATGCTATTGGAAAAGAGCTTTTAATCAAATAAGGCTAAAATGCAAGATGTTGGATCATCTTGATTGTAATTGAAATGTTTCAACTGCCACCAGCAGGTGGAGACATTTCAAGAAGCATGAGAAACTCGTAGAACAACAGTCCTTCATTGTCATGAGTCAGTTCACTCAGCAGACCTGAGGAGACACAACATGCCTGTGGTCAACTCTCATCACGCCCTCCTATTCTTAACACACACAGACAGACACTCATTTAAAGCCTAGATCCAGGATTAGCCTCACTGTATGACATTTGATTACTAAACATTAATGGTTTCAAATGATTTAAATTCATATGCAATTGATTTATAAGCCAGTGCTATTTAGAGTCCCGCATCTGTAATATTTGGCACATGTAGCCTTCATTCTGTACAATTATAACTCATGACATGCAGGACTACTCAGCTAATAGACTATGCGTGGTATGCAATCCATATCTTATATCACGGTATGAATAATTTTACATGTATGCTAACATAATCTCATGTAATTTGAATTTAAATATTAAATAAATAAATATGTAGTATTTCCTTATCGAGTCCAAGCTGTTTTGCCTAAATGTTAATGGTAGTATGACCTGACCTTAGGTTACGAAACTGAAATAAGCAGTGTTTATCACAGATTTTGTTACAGTTCAGACAAGCTGTGTCCAATGCATTATCTCTCTGTCTCAGACAGCAAACTGCATGTTCCGCTCCATTCCTCCCCCAGTCTTTATTTGTTGACTGCCCACATTAAACATTTATCCTCTATTAGTTAAATCATGTTGGCAATCGCTGAGAATGCTTGAGGGGCTTCACGGCCCCCACATCCTCTCTTTACCCAACCCTGTTCAGAGTTTTCCCTCAGAAACTGGCTGCCAGTTACTCTGCTTTGTTATAAAATGTTGTGCTCTAAAGGTGCACACCCTAATATGGGTAAAATATGTTTTCAACATATATCTTAATTTACTGTACATACTATAGAGCTGCTGTTTAATAAATTAAATAAATGATATAATTAGTGTTGGATTTAATTATGTAAATATATGTGTGTGAAAATATTTGAATATATACATGTATAATTAACACATAACATGTTTATTAAAATCAATAAAGTAATACATGTAAAAATCAATTAGTTAAATACATTAATAAATAAAAAATAAAATACTAGTTGGTCAAGTTGAGATAATGCATTATTAATTACTGTAATATAACAATTATATATATATATATATGAAGAGTTCAGATGCAAAAGCCTCTAAATGCCATTTGAAATTTTCTTCTAGAATGGTAATTTTTATCAAGCTTGTATATTTAAGTTCAGTAATTTTACTTAAATGACAATTAATAGGTAATCTTCATTGCCATTTAAGTGAAATTACTGAACTTAAATATACAAGCTTGATAAAAATTATCATTTTAGAAGAAAATTTCAAATGGCACTTAGAGGCTTTTGCATCTGAACTCTTCATATATATATATAATTGTTATATTACAGTAATTAATTAACAATTTATATATATATATATATATATATATATATATATTGTTAATTAATAAATTACAATACTATTTTATAAATATTATATTATATAAAGTACAGTAATTATACATTAATATAAAAATTATAGTAAATCTAAACACTATAATATACACACACAGTATATATATATATATATATATACAGAGTATATATATACACAGTATATACACATATATACAGTGTGTGTATATATATATATATATATATATATATATAGTGCAGATACAATATATAGCCTTTGTTTTTTAGGGACATGATTAAATGAATAAATTTTGAATGCATTATTTTAATATCATTTACAAAACTAACATATTAAATTAAGCCGTACAATTGAACTATCAGGGCTTTTATTTAGCTTTACCTTTGTTTGGCTGCAAGTACTATTCTTTCAAAATATCCAACACCATGTAATCCTTTCAAAAAGCTTCACACATGTAGTGTTGAGGGAATCCAATTAGCATGCATAGATCAAGAGATATGCTGAAAACACATTATTTAGGAGCAGCAGACCCTTATCTGATCGCTTCCTGAAAAGCAGCCAATAAGGAAAAGACTGCAAGATTACCTTTACCATTTTTGTGGGAAGCTAAAACTGCTATTTTGAAATATCCTGTTTGTTATTCTAGAACTGAGTTAATCGGGAGGATTTCAAATCGACTAAATTAAAGTCTTACCAGCAATAATATCATCCATTTGTTCCAAGGCTGCTTCTAACATGTGACTTGCATCTGAGGCCATGGCGCCAGCCGTCTACTGCATCTGCTGGTTTGCTTCTCAGCGACCTGCAAAAATGTGTCATATAATGATGCAACATTATGAATAAAAGTCACAATTACAGTTGCTGGGAAAGAGCGTTTCGAAATTGAGGGTGGAGTAAAAACATTAATCTTGTGTGTGTGTGAACCAATTCCATGAATCTCATCTAACACAAGTAGCAGCTTGGCATGTCTAAGACTGCAGATTTCCTGACCGTAATGTACAATGATGCCAATCTAACTTGACATTACACAAATTCCCTCGAGCAAACGTGGTATACAACAACATGTAAACACGTGCAAATCATACTGTCCACTCTGACAAGTCTGTTTTTAGAAAGCTGTGTGTGTTTGACTGCATGCTTTCTGAAGCTATAATATAAAATGGTCTCCATATTAAGAGCTGGTATTTTCCCAAGCGTTAACCCCTGACTCTCTGCTTTGACGTATCCCGAGGCAGGTTGACTTTCTCCCTGTGGGACCTCGGTGATGGAGGGAAATTTGAGAATGATTACGCTTGTCAGGGTCAAGTTTCACCCTATTGTCATGCCTCGTGGCATGTGTAATACGCACATTCATACATCATATATTTAGCCTCACACACATAAGCAAACAAAGAGGCATCTCTAAATTATGGAAGCCCGTTTCTGTCTCAGAGTAAAGCTCCGTCACAAATTTACCGTTGCTCGGACAATCCACAAGCAGGAACATGTGAGAAGTGCCAGTATGCAAGAAAAAGTGAGGTTACGGCCAACTTCGAGTACTGGATATCATTTTTTTTTTATAAATGTTAGGCCACATGATGAACAGAACATTTAACCTACTTGTTGTAATCTTGTTAGTGGGCAGCCGGGACACATGCCAGTCGGGTAGAGGGTCAAAAAAGGCAACTGTCAAGGGCCACCGTGCTGAAAGGGTGCATGGCCCACAATGCTAATCATTATGTATATAGCTTAATTTAGCCACACACGACAAGAGAGCGTTGACACTATTCGGGGCGGTGGGATCTTTCACTGCTGAAACACACAACCGCGCTGTAATCACGGCCCTGATAGGAATGTGAATGCAAGCCTTCAGTTAAATGACAAGAAGAGATGAGCGCAGTTCATTAATAGATAGCGTGCTTTTTAATGCAAGCGAAAATGAAAAATCCAGTACAACCTCGAGCATTGCACACACACCCCAGTTGTTCGAACGTAGATAAGGGTGTGGAGGCTTTCTGTCATGTGCTATCTGCCCTAAAAAAGGAGTCACGTCTTATTTGATCATGCTGATGAGGCCTTTTCGTCTCTCTTCACTTATTATAAGGTGGCGCAGAGAAATATACCGCTGTTGCTTATCAAATCAAGTTTAACCATTCTCGTCTCACGTGTAATAATCTGCTTACAAACATCCAATCCCTCAATGTTCTCCTGCCGTTTTATGAGAAATCACAACAACTTTTAGATTCCTGACCCACTACAGAACAGGCGCTCTTTTCGGACCCACAAACTCAATTTCCATTTAGGCAATTAAATTAGTCTAACAAAGATAATGTTAACCATAGTACCATAGTTTGAACCATAGTTCCATAGTTTGTCCTGTGTCTTCTGTTTTATACTATTACGATCTGACAAATCACTTCAAGAGATTCTTCTGTCTGAGAGCTCCACCTGTGTAGTGTGTGTGTTTCACATGAGCACAATGCCAGTCCACTACAGTTAAAAACATTATGGAAACAGTATGTGATGCACATATCAAAGTTACTATATAAACCATAAAAAAATATATAAAATCAAACACTCCAGAGTCATTCAAATTCTTGTGGCCTTCAGATCATACTAGTGAGTAGTCTCATGGAGTCAAAATTTAGAGATAATTAGTTTAATATATATATATATATATATATATATATAGGGCTGTCAAACGATCCAAAATAATCCAAAATAAAAGTTTGTGTTTACATAATATATGTGGGTGCACTGTGTATAATTATTTTATATATATATAAATACACACACATGCTTGTATATATTTAAGAAATATTTTCTATATAAATAATATATAGAAAATAATTTCTATATAAATATTTTTTATAATATATATATATATATATATATATAAATAATATTTTTTTCCTAAATATACAAGCATGTGTGTGTGTGTGTGTGTATATATATATATATATATATACATATACTAAATAATTATACACAGTGCACCCACATATATTATGTAAACACAAACTTTTATTTTGGATGTGATTAATCGTTTGACAATATATATGTATATATACAGTACAGTATATATACATCACACACACAGAGTATACACACACTGTAGTTAATAGAGCAATATATTTGAAATAGCCTATTTACTATTATTAATACAATATGATTGATACAATTTTGTATCATATCACCATATGATACAAAGTGATTAATATAATAACAATCAATAATTCATATAAAAAGTGTGTGTGTGTATAGATAGTTAGATAGCATTATATTACTACTATGTTAACAATTAGTCTAATAATAAAAGCAATATTTTTAGTATTATATTAATTATTGGCATAAAACAAATATAACAAAAACAGAAACAAAACAGACACAACACGGAAATATGTGTAGAGAGTTTGTACTAGGAATTTCTGATTATCGAAAATTACTGATTATTTCACTAGGGGTGTAACAATATATCGTGCCACAATATATACCAATACAAAAATACAACAATACGTATCGTGGATTCTAGTGACAATATGTATCGTGGATAGTTCCACAAAATAAAAATTACTGTGTGAGAGAAAATTCTCACAAACGTTTTAGTGTCAGTACTACATTAAACTACTATATATACTATTGATTGTAATGTATAATAATCCAATGGGGGAATATTTGTGGGTCCTCCTGATAATGTCAAATGACTTACCAGTAACTTGACCAGTAAAAAGTGTCCAGAAGTGCAAGAATATTTGACTAAAATAATTCTGTATTTTCAGCTTCAGAATCATGAATATTGTATGAATATTATTGGAGTATCGCAATAATATCGTATCGTGAGTTCAGTATCGTCTATCGAATCGTGACACGAGGGTATCGTTACACCCCTATATTTCACATTACTTATTAATCAGTACTATGGATTTAGTTAATCAAGTTTCTCAAACAAATCTTTAGTTTAGTTGAAAACTTCTGAAATGTCCCCCACAGTAAGTCAGTGTTGCTTCTATCAGTGTTGACGCATTCCAATAGAAGCCCTTGCCCTCAGTGTTCCTGATACTCAAGAGTGTGACCGAGCCGCCCAGAGGGACTGAATCACACACACATCACATGCCGGACAGCATTCAAGTCCTCGGCTGCTTAGATCCTCTGTGTTTATAAAACCCTGTCCCTGATAAGCCAACACAAACAGCGAAACCTTGAATTACAAAAAAAATAAATAAATCACTTTTTCCGCCCAAACCCATTCTGAATATTTCCGTTCACACTGTTTCTCTTAGAGATTGCAAGGCCATCCAACCCACAGGTTATTCATGCGGAGGCTTTGAGAGGGGAAACTGATTTCAATGAAGTGTTTGAACCTGATCCCAACTACAGTATCTATCTCTCACCCTCACTTTACTCATTTATGATATCAATCCCATAGACTTATATTGAAGGAGGGACAAGAATCAAAACTAGAGTCCAGGATATCATAGAGAACTTACTGGGCCATTTAGACTTTACCCTGAATACCACAGTAATCTGCCTTGTGGAGGTGACCTTTTCACGACTCTTGTAAGCACCACCTATTTTCTTCGGGAAAATGTAAAAATCTTGTTTCAACCATTAGTGTATGTCTGTGTGTACAGTGTTATGCAAGTTACTCAAAAAAAAAAAAAAAGTTTTATATCTTCAACAGTGTAATTAGATTCCTGTACTAACGTATTGCATTATTAATAATTACTTTCTAAATCCCATATCAACCATGACCAGTTAAACAATACAAAGATAGACATGAAACTTCTCTTTCAAATAAATAATATAAAAGTGTATAAATTATTTTTGAACTGACAAAAGTATTTAAGGGGAGAATGTTACATTAAAAACATACATTTTATTATTTTGATGTTAAATACACTTGTTTTAAATAAAGTTGGACTGTCTATTCAGTAATGCAATGAAATCAGAAGTAACTATAATTAAAATACAGAAGTAATCCCTTACTTTACTTTTTTAAGGGAAAAGTAATTAAGTTACAGTAATTAATTACTTAGTAATGCATTACACCCAACACTTTTTGTACTTTTTTTGGTATGAAACCAATGATAAAAATTAAAAAAAAGTTTTGGAAAGATTCACCTCGTGAGACATATTAGTCTAGTGTTGTTTGCTTTACTTTGACATGTGACAAGCTTTGACAATACTTAAGTGTTCGCTCTAGATAACACTCACAAGCAGACACTGAAGAACCTATAGATCTTTTGGATCCAAAACCCTTTGAAATATTGTGAAACCAAACATGCAAACTAATTCTCTGGTTTTAACAAGCTACTGCTATTTATCATGTGAATCAAAAACTGCCTGAGACTGTGAGCCCAGCGTTTGGTGCCAAACAGCAAACTGTGGTGTTAGAATAACCACTCTCCTTACTTTACTCCAGGATGTTTAGAGAGGCAAACAGAAACTACCGGTACTGCGGGAAGTCCCTATATTTTTGAGCTACATTACAGTTAATGATAAACCGCCTCATCCAAGGTTGTTTTTAACTAAAATACTGGAAAATTGTGATCATGAACATGTTTGGACTTTGGAACAGATACACAAAATAATGAGTAAGCATTAATAAAAGCCTGTTCAAACCAAGAACAATAATGATATAGTTTATTCTAAATAGTAAATTAATCTAAATATAAAAGAATAGCGATTTACTGATTTACTAATCGGGTTTAAAGTCCATTCACACCAAGAATAATAACTATAACGATAACTATATTAACGTCCATAACCAGTGGACTATAACAGTATCAACTCACTTTCAGAATGATTTTTTTTCCAGCTTATGAACGATAAAATCATTTTTATAGAGCCAATCAGAATCCATCCTGTTTTAAAGAGCTCGAGCATTTAAAGGGACAGATAACAAAACTGCAGCACGCTCTTAAGGCCCGTACACACCGGGACGCGCGTATATCAGCCAGCATTTTTAGCGCATTTTTTGTGTTCACACCCAAAGTGATTTTCGCTGACAATGAGCCGAGTGAACATGCAAATTCATTCCCTGACATTAGATGGCGCTTAATGTAAAACAGAAATAATGATACTATTATAACAAAAATATTATAAACATTATCATATACTCTTCAGTGTGTATATCTTCTTCGCCGTTAGGTATCTTCTATCTTCAGTGTGTATATCTTCTTCCGGCAGTGTGTATGTCTTCTTCGCCGTTAGGCATGTGTGCTCGGTAAAACCGTTTTGTGTTTGAGCGCCCCCAAGTGTTTTACTGTAACTTCAGAAGCACCAGACACGAGAGCAAAAGCACCAATCTCATTGGTCGGATAGTTTTTGACGCGGCGCATCAAACCAAAAAAACGAACTCAAGGTGGTTTAAAAAAATTACGCTTTACGCATGGCGTTTTTCGTGTTGGTGTGTGTGCACACTCACATTGGCGCCCTTTGTTTAGTCACAAGGTGTTAAATTCACGCACGAAATTCGTCCCGGTGTGAACAGGCCTTTAGAATAAACAGAACATTTCGTCCACTGGTGTGTACACTAATTGTTATAGTTATTATTCTTGTTATGACAGACATCAAACTTATATCTAGAATCACTTGAGAGACTTATGTAACTCTAAATATGATGTATAGGAGTAAATAACTTTTTATAGCAATAGTTTGAGGAAAGACTTATTTTCCCTCACTTATTGTGAGTTTTACTCTTTTGAAAACAGTTCCCATAAAATTTGAAATAATACAAAAATTATGTACACAATACACATTAAATGTACTTTTATGTAAAATGTTTTCTTTGAAAAAAGTTGCCATAAATTAACACTAAGCCTACTGTTCAAAGGTTTTGGGGTCAGTAAAAATATTATTTAAATGAATGAATGCATTTATTAAATGAATCAAAAGTGACAGTAAAGACATTTATAATGTTACAAAAGATTTCCATTCGTTGAAAATTTGTTCAACATTGATTTGCTGCTCAAGAAACATTTCTTATTATTATATCAGTGTGTGAGAATGATTTCTGAAGGATCACGTGACACTGAATACGGTGTAATGATGCTGAAGAAAATACAGCTTTACCATTACAGGAATAAATTACATTTTAAAATACATTCAAATAGAAAAGTTATTTTAAATTGCAATGTTTCACAATATAAATGTTCTGTACTTTTGATCAAATAAATGCACCGGACAGAAAAGACTTATTAAAACAACAACAAAAAAGTAATCTTACAGACCCCAATCTTTTGAACAGTAGTGAAATATAATATTAAATAATATAATATAATAATTATCTTAATAAATCCACTGTGCCAACTATGGTATTATTCGAAACCTAAAACCATGTTAATTATAATTTTTGCTTGTTATTAATTTGCCTGTAAGCCACTCCATATACATATTTTCCATACATGTTGTTAGCAAATATAGCAATCCCCACTATGTACAGTAAAACCCAAAAAATGACACATACTGTATCAGCCTTGGGCAGAAATACTGCAGGGGGAGGAAGTGGCATCAGCATTAGGTGTCAGACCAATAAACCCAGCACGTCAACACAGCTTAATATGAGAACATCAAAGACAGCAGTCCTCCTCAAACAGCTTAACCGTCCCCACTCAGCACTCTGCATTAAACCATCCCGATGTGTATATGTGTGTGTGTGTGTGTGTTCAGTAAGCAGCTGACGGAGTGACATATCGCGTGGGCACTGCGCATACCTTGGTCAAACGCACTATAATGTAGAAGGTAAAGCGCAGTTCCCAAAGTGACACAAGGCCTCATCGCTGTGGGATCTGGACGTTTTTGTGTGAGCAGGTTCACGCTCTGCCACAAGCTACCTTCTCAATAGAGGTTACTTTTCAAACACATTAAGTCATCCACAACAAACCTGGTTCAAATAACAAGGGGATAGAGTTGCAGAACCTTTATGACTGTACACACCACATGCGGAGTAGCGTGATCAACAAGCGGAAGACAAAGAGGAAGCTCCGCCGTATTAATAAAGACGTTTCACATAACACTTCCACACATATTAACGTCAGAATGTCCAGGAGATCAAAACAGCTCTGATGTTACACACTCGGAATGATTCATGACTCGGTGTAGGCGGTTGTAAGTTCGATTCGGGCTTAGACCCTGGACGATCCTGAGCTGTACTCACCGGAGCGGATGCGTTCTGGCAGCTGGGGTGAATGCTGCACTCCTCCACAGTAACAAGAGAAATGTCAGCCCTGAGCAGGTGCATTCGACTGTGGTGCCAAGGCCCGTGAAAATGTCAGTGAGCCGCTCGGCACAGGAAAACCCTGCTCATGGGGCAAAACGTCACGGCTCTGTCCTACAGGTCCCTGACATCAATACTGCCCAATGCATATTGCATGGGATCTCCACCGCTGTCTATCTCAGTCCTCAGGACGGGGTTCACAGAAAGTCTGATGCCAACTGTTGACGTTCAAGTTAGCTTCCTCTGCTAGGTTACAGTATTCAGTGAAAAATGCAACTGGGAATTGGATCTCGATTCTTAAACCTAGTGGATGGTATATCTGAATCAAAGAGTGAGAAAAGAATTCATGTAAAGTGTGGTAAAGAGTGATGGACCCTTTTAGATGCTCATTAAACTGCATTTAACTTTACAAGCCTTCGAAAGCCTCAGAAAACAAAAGTGCACTAAGGGTTTCATTGCACTAAGTGGGACAAGTTTACTTGAATATTAAAAATATGTCACCCTCATGCTGTTCCCAACCTGTATGACTTTCAAGTGTGTGCTGGAGAAATGATTGAATCCCTATACAAGACTGCACAAAACTTCAGTAAACTGTTGCCAGTCATCATTATTGAGTTGTTTTGGTCAACATTAGCTTTCAGAAGCTGTGGCGGTACCCTTTCAAAAGGTGCACCTTTGTACCTGAGGAGTGCATATTAGTACCTCAAAGAGTCTTATTGGTACCAAATATTGTACATATTAGAGCCTTTTTAAAGGGTACCATTTTTCTAAGAGTGTATGGGCAAAACGTTCTTCAAAATATCAGGTTTTGGCATGCTATGAGGGTGAGTAAATAATGAAAAACTTTTTATTTTTGTGTGAACGATCTCTTGAACTAACTACTTGATATCAGTGAGAGAATCACTACAATTTTCAAATTATCGTTCTGGGAATGAAACGGTTGTGGTAAAACTGGTCAGTCAGGACGTGTGTGTGCACCTCTATGGAAATAAGGGCATGGTAATAATCACACAGTAGAAGAGCCTGAGGGCTACGTGTCTGTTCAAAACAACAATATGAACGCTCTCCTTCACCTGTTATCATAAACCATTTACTCATGTTCAACTTTGCTACCACGACAACAAAAAATCAATCAGAGATCAATGTCTTGCTTTTAATTTGCTCTGCCAAGAAACTGCCAAGATGCTAAGAGGATCTCACTATTAAACATCTCTTTCCCTGAATACAGAAATATGAGGGTCAAAATGGGATGGAGAAGGCAGTCAAAGGCTTCAAAGACTGTAAAGGCATGATTCCACCTTAAACATCTCTGAAATGTTAAGCTACTTCAAGACACATTATCACATGGTTATTTAAACAAAAACTGTACTGTAACAACTAAAATGGTCATCCACAACAAGTTATTAAACTTTTAAATTTGGCAAACATACGGTAGTGTCATCAAAGAACAAAACAATTGTGTTGTTTTCAGAGCGCGCCAGGGGAAGTGGACAAATAAAAAAGCCTTTATCCTTTTCTCTAAGCACATGATCTTCACAGACAGCTTTGTTGAACCCCACAGTCATTACCAAGTGAAATCTCCATCGCAGCACAGTGTGGCTGCTCACTGAGCCCACTGGGGTCAGCACTGAAGGAAGAGGCTTTATGCACTATAATAAAAACTGGCAGTAAAACAAACGTGGACAATGAATGGTAACAGGCAGTGACAAACACTGTAATAGGCTTCAGTGCCGAATGTTTTGTGAATATTCGTTCAGATAATGGCTAATCTGAGACCGTTCATCCTACACTATATGACCCATTTATCTACCTAGATCCTTAAGGATTTGACAGACCAATCACGTTGGAGTCGAAGTTTCTGGTCAGTGATTATTCCTCTTTGGTCATCATCATAGTATAGCTTAATTGTGTACTACTACTAAATAATGTAATGTAAGAAGAATTTAAATGGAAGTGATTTATTTTTACTCACATTTGACTTATGTTTTCATTGATTAGGCTACTTGTTTGAATTAGATAGCTAAGTTAATAGAATTCACATGGTTATCATTACAGCTTGGTGTACTATATGTAAATAATTATATTCACTCGCATTTAAAGTTTGTATGTGTGTATTTTTTTTGCATGTTATGTAAAACATTAAGAAAATTCTGATCCCATACAGTAGAACTCACACATTTATCATTAATAATAAATACAACGGCAGAAAAGATCATTCAATGTGATTTAACGTTAAATTAAATTTATGACGAGGAACCGTTAACATACAGCACCTAAACTTTCTTGATAATTTGTATGACATTACACGTGCGAAAGAATATTTAAAACAGCTTAAAATGACGAAAAAGTTGTTCTGTGTAAGAAAGGGCCGTTGGAAGTATGTTTTTAAAAATTTACGTACCTGTATTGTAAGTAATTCCCGATCCTGTCCGATTTTAAATCCTCTTGATGTCAGCTGGCGTCCCGCTCATCTGTTATCATCGAACGGCGTTGCTCCAATATCATAAAGCCATGAGGTCCATTTCATCTGACCAATCACCTGTCATGTGCTGTAAGGGGCGGGTCGAATCGCAAAACGATTTTCATATTTTAATTAACATAATAAACTAAAGTAACATTTTAGTCTTAACGCGGTCAAAGTATAGTGGAACAATTTTAATTTGGTATAAGTAACGAGGAGGGAATATCATTTAAAAACACGAGCTGTGAAAACAAATTTCTTTAGTTTTAAATGTTTTGTCACAGAATGAAATAAATACAATAGTATTGTATTTGTAGTGTCTCCTTTGTCTTCAAATATGTTCCGTTACAACCACAGTCTATGGTTACAACTAGTGACCGCATGTTCAGGTCTTTCTTTTACTGTCCATGGTTCAGGTAGTCCTGTGGAAATCTGTGTGGAGAATAGCAGCGCCATCTATTGTTCAGGCCATTCAAATTCACAAATAGACTAACATATAAGTGCGCATGCGCTAAACGTTATCAGCACAGGTACACGCTTGCAACAAAATCCAAAGTTAAAATCATGATTTAAAGCCTTAGAAAAGTGAACAAAATAGTAATAACAATTTCTTTAATGAATATACTTTGAAGACTTTGTACTCAAAAGCATAATTGCTTAGTGCAAACACTGATACTAATAAAAAAATTAGCTGGAAAAGCTGAGAACAAGAATTTATGTTGAACAAATTAATTAAATTATGACTTATAAGTAAATAATAATTATTAATGATTATTTATTGCGAAAATGTGTCATACAAATAATGAATGTGCTTGTATGGTGCACATTATAATATTTCAATGCATGATCCACCTCACCAATACAGTGAATTTGAAGTGGCAACAAATTCTGTACAAAAATATTTTCTTTGAGAGACATAGTCATTGGAGATAATTAGTTTTTGTATAATGCTCTTTATTTCTAGTGTAGGCCTACTGCTGTTGGATAAACTTCTTTTATAAACAACTTTTATTGTCTCAAATCAATCATAGAAAGAGTGGAGATACGATACTAGCGGTCCTCTGACTGAACCGAGGAACCCAAAGAGTCCTTTGTTTTTCAGGAAATTACAGTCTGGTAAAACAACAAAGTGCACTACAAAGTGCTTTCAAGCAGATCAGATGTGATTGGGAAGAAGAATAAAGCACTGATGGTTGAAAGGACCTTATTGTAACTGCCCTTTTGTTTCTATGTAGAACTGACCAATCTTATATCTTCTTGATATCTAACTTATAGATGGTCTGATAACCATCATCCCAAGCATACAGATTCTTATCCTTGGGGTGGAAATGCAAACCAGAGTGGCTGGTGTAACGTTTTGGGAAGAAAAGCACAGGGATGCTCTCCAGGTAGATGGTGTCGTGGATATCAAACAAGCATTGGATGCTGGACCTTCCACCATAGTGGGAGTTGTAGACCACATATAAGGTGCCACAGATTATGAAAGATGCTTCTGCATCACGGCTATTGCAATTGGTATCCCAAGTGTGCTCCACAGCCAGACTACTGTGGTCCAGCTTGGAGATCACCAAGTTGCCGCCAAAGTCTGGGTCCGCATGGATCGACCAGAGCCCCATTTCGTCAAGAGCGAGATCCAGCAAGGTGTGAGGGCTGAGGGAATAAGCCGGCATTCGACCGGCTCCAGGAAGCAGCAAGCGATCAGCCACTGTGCGATTGTTGAGGTGGACCTTCAGGATCTCATTGTTGGTGTCTGCGTTGTGGTAGTACACAAAGCCGTTGTTGACTACATGGCCGGTTCCATGCCAGGGAAAAGGAAGACGGATAACTTCCGTCTTTTTGGTGGAGTTTGCTCCAGTGAAAGCCTTCAGAGAAGTATATGCTAATATTGTACTGTTTCGAGTGCCGCTAAAAAAGTAAATCTTAGCAGAACCCTTCGTCGGATCCTTCATCCAGGACCCATTGATGTCGCCTGCCTTCTTGACGATTTTGAGGGACTTGATACCCACAAGCTCTGAACTGCAGTCTGGAAGAATCAAGATCAAAATAATCAACTTTATGCAGCAATAGCAATATAAGTTTTTAGAAATATTACATTTATACAATTACATCCTTTATTTACCATATCTTTTTATAGGAAAGCACAATCTATTGATACCTTATCAATTACTGGAAACTAAGGCATGGTGCCAGCAAACAAATTTAGGTTCTGGGAACGTTAGTTTTTGGTTCCCAGAACATTCCTAGAACTTTCCCTTAAGGTTAAGGGAACATTCCCGGAACATTCTCCTTACGTTATAAAAATGGAACCTAAAAATAACCTACATGGAACGTTCCTATAATGTTCTTGTTTAGTTCCCAAAAAAATAACCTCATGGGACCATTCGGGAACATTAGGGGAACATTCTTTGTTTGCTGGGGTTTCACAGACAGAAGCCAGGATTAGACCTTAGTTCAATTAAGACGTAGTAGCGTCTCTTGAAAAAAATCGCAGCTCAATACCCAAACGTGCATTTTAGTCTGGGACTAGGCTCAAGCCTTGTTTGTGAAACCGGGGGTAAATATTCTTAATCTACATGTTTACATGTAATACTCTAACACTAACACCAAAAAAGTCCTGAAAATTCAAATTGTAGGGCTTAATTCCAAATGATAGATGCCTAAACTTCTTATTTACCTTTGCCCTTAGGGATTACAGATGTCTTTTTTAGCTTGGCTTCTTTCATCTGGTCCTCGATCAGCGAATCTTCAATGTCAACCTGAGCGTTGTCAGGGATCTTATTCTGCAGGTATTCCACATCTCTCTCCACTCGATCCATGCGCATAGCGATGGTATCAATGTGACCTTTGACCTCTGATTTCAACACGTTCACCTTGCTTGTTTGCCCATGTATCTCCTTAGACATTTCATACAGCCTTTGACTGAAGTGCTGGAAGCCCTGCTCGCATTTGATCAGTCGTCCCTGTTAAGATGAATGCGCAAAAATACCACGTGACTAATCACACTATATTAAAACTCAACAATAAAACTAAATTGTAAAGGTAAAACATCTACTATATTTAAATGTTAGCAATTTATGTGTGTTTTGCTTGAAATTTAATTCAGTTTGAACACATAGCTAACCAGCTAAACCTTGACCCCCTGATTTGACCAAGTACGGCAAGGATCAACATCCTTGTTAGTCTTGGAGCAACATTCCAAATTACCAGTCACATTGTAGAGAAATGGAAAAAAGTTCTAGGCTAATGGGAACCGCACATTAGTGTAGTTAAAATTCTCTAATTTTATAAGTTTACGGTTAGGTTAGAGTTATGTTGTAGAAATGAACCAACAATCCAGATCCAGGAACATATACTTAACACAATCACATACAAAAAGAGTATGAAACATAGCTAATAGTAAGCTTTAATTGTCCTACCCAATGTACAATGTATTAATATATTATATTAGCTAGTTAAAGCAAACATATTTGGCCACAAATAAGTTATCTTAAAAAATCTTACCTCCAGCTCCTGAAGTTGTCTCTGAAAATACTCCATCATAAAATCAGGAGTTGTCCTTTGAGTTTGTCCAGTTCCAAGCAAAAGAAGTATAGTTATCAATGACAAAAGCATGATGTATATTTCAACTCTGATGTCTTTCCCGATTGTTTAGTTTGTGTTATATAATAAAACCAAGAAAACTCCCTTTCTTTTCTAATGTCAGTCTGCTAAAATGGAGCCAGCGGAGTTCCAGAAGCAACTGGATGTTTGTTATTCAAATTCTGGAACTGTATTCGAAGGAAGATGCTGAAAAGGCAGGTCTTCACAAGCTGTGTTTTTAGTATTAATAAACTCCAGATGTCCCGACACGCTTACACTCGATAAATCAAAATAGCAGATCATACGATTCAAATTACTGCATATTTACAGTATAATGTACACCATATTTGCCTCACCCCTTCAGTTTGTTAGCCTTTTTAGAGTTCAAATTGGTAATTTGAGAGCAGGAAACACATCAGGACACCTTCAGGAGCTTCAGTCTGGCTGGCCGACGCAACCCTCATTTTTGGCCCACAAACAGACACTTTTCCTGCCAAATAAGTGACGGGGGGAAGAAAATTACTTTATTCCTGGAAGAAGTTGTTTGAGCCCTGCACTTCTTTTAAAAAAATGATTATTCGCCAATTTTATTTCTATTAGTAGGCTATGAACTAAAATTACTAAAATGATTTTATTGCTAAAACACTATTTAGCATAACATTCTTGCTAATATCTTTTAACTTTCTTTTCTCCCAGAGAAAGGTTCTGTTTGTCCATCAGATGGCGCCACTACCAAAACAACAATGTGAACTCTGGGAACAGGATGTGTCCATTGTTGATTTTGTTTGCTTAGACAATGAGAGTTTGTTTACATTGATTTAAAATATATCCGTTTCCAACATCTCTGGTTTATCAGTGATTTTCCGAAATTCAGCATTTTTCTTTTTTAACTCGGATAACTTCCTTTAGACGTTTTTGTGCTTCTGACACCACTGGCCCAAATTCCACTAGTCAATTATTTAGGCTGTTATATAATGGCATCATTCAATTATTATGCCTCATCTTAAATAGAAATCACAAAACAAGCCTTTTGCATTAACTAGGGTATCAGATCATATCTTCCTTATATTTGTCTCATTCATTTGCTTTTAACTGTAACCTATTATTATTTTTTCATTTAATCAGAAATGACAATGTAGTAGCTCAGGCAATTGTCAAAAAGGAGGTTTGCTTGTCACGAGGGGACTGGGCTTGTTGTCAAAGAAAACACTGCAAAAGGAAGCGACAGGCTCAAATGATGTAGAAACATTTGATGTGGAAACTTTTGTGGCCTAATTCAATCACAGCAAATCCAAGGACTGCAAATAGATGAAGAGAAAATAAAAAAAGACAACAAAAATTTCTATTAAAAAAGAGCTATATGTATTATTTACCTTATTTTTCAATTTACAAGAAGAAATTAAAAACATTTTAAAACTATTTCAACCAACCTTGTCCCAAAGTAGTCCTACTTCCATTAATAACATTTTTTAAGTGGCTGGTGACCAAACTCTATATAGCACAGCGAGACAAAACCCCTCATCAAAAGCTCCATTAGTGGAACAGTGTCTCTTCCAATGCTGAATGAGTTTAATAACAGTGACTTCATGTCCCTGTCTCAAGCCCATAAAAGCTTTCGAATGTGTATGTCTGATATTAATATTTTTTGGGGGCTTATAACATCTCTTCTCTGGAGAGTTGCAACTAATGCTAACGGTTATGGTTATAATATTTACACAAAAGACTGCACATAAAACAACAGTCAGTATCCATAAAATTCAAGAGGTAAATGACTAGAAATTAATGTTTATCTCTACAGTTTAACTTTTATTCACAAATGAATTAATAAGCGTGAAATGGTACATCTGTTCGGAAACATCAGACAGACCCAAGCATCCCTTTTACCATTAAATGAGGACATGCATGGTCCCCAAACAGTCTCCACCACTGAGCCAACTCTCTGACACACTTCCATAATTCCCTCTCATCTTTTCTTAGGGGTTTAGCCCAACCAGCTCCCTGCTGTTTTTAACAACATAGCCTACACAACAGCACATTCATTACTTTGTCAGGACACTTCAAAGCTGATACCTTATACATTTGCATCCTATAAGCAGAAGTAGATAAAAAGACTAGGCCTTCAAATAGGCGTGTCATTTAAACTATATTAACAAATAAGGTGAGGAAAAGGCTTTTTAAATAACAATTTTAAAAAGTTATTATTCACATTCACTTTTTGAACATTTTAGTAAACCAAGAACAAAACCCCTGAATGCAGAAAAAGAAGACATCAACATCTCATAAACGGGATACGTGATACGTGTGATTTTTTTATGTTAAAATCTTAGCTGTATATAATCCATTTCTACGTTAATTTTCCCGTAAAGTGTTTGGGATAGTCCACTTTTTTGGAAACAGGCTCATTTTACAACTCCCCCAGAGTTAAACTGTTGACTTTTACCTTTTTTGAATCCATTCAGCCGATCTCCGGTTATGGCAGTACCACTTTTAGCATATAGCTTATACATCATTGAAGGGCACAAGACCATTAGCATTTCTCCTCCCAAAAATACCAAAGTGTTTTGATTTTTTCCTATTTAAAACTTGACTCTTCTGTAGTCACATCGTACACTAACTAACACACTTAGCACTAAAACTTAGTCCCGGTTGGAAGCTGGGGACAATTTTCAAGCGCTGCGTCATAACATTGCGCCTGCTGCACTCATGGTACGGCAGTGAAGTTTCCTGATTATTACGCAGGAATGAGAGTATAGTTCCTAGTCATATCAGCGTAGAAAATCGCAACTTTACATTTTCCGTCGGTCTTAATGCACGATGTAACTACAGAAGAGTCAAGTTTTAAATAGGAAAAATATCAAAACACTTTGGTCATTTTTTTCTGAGAAATGCTGATGGTCTTGTGCACTTCAATGATGCTAAAAGTGCCAAAACCGGAGATCGGCTGAATGGATTCAAAAAAAGGTAAAACTCAACAGTTTAACTTCGGGGGAGTTGTAAAATGAGCCTATTTCCAAAAAAAAAGTGGAGTATCCCTTTTAACGTTCTTCTTATTTGAGAGTCCCGGGGACGGGACTATCTCTCCCACCAATCACAGTCAGGGGAGTGTTTGGACAAGGGACCCTCAAGGTGTACGAAATTGCATACTCTCTTGAGTTGGTACTTATTTTGAATAAGTAATTACTAAAAAAGCATGTTCTATGTAGTATTATGTGTGTAGTATGAATGTAATCTGGACGTAGCCATGTTGTCATTATCATGTGACCTACCAGTGTCAAACGTCTTCACTGCCATTCATAAATTGTCTCCCGTGGCCTCATGGGATAGTAAAGGGTTCATTGCATGCACACTTCAGACTCTCGCCATGAAGTAGGTCATCTGGGTACTTTTTGCCAACTCTTTTATGAGTACCTAAACATTACCAAATAAAATCATAAACGCATCTATGCATGAAATCAAGCAATGTGTAAAGATAGAACAGTTCTCTGTGAAGGGATACTGTAGATGTTTGGATTTTCACTGGAAGTTACATAGATACAGGATCTTGAGAAGAAAAAAGGCACTGATGGATATTCTTTGCTTCAATCAAAGGCTATTGCTTACAACTATAGCATTAGGGATCCCTCAAGGCTCTATTCTTGGACTGGTTTTATTCAGACTTTATTGCCTTGCAGCCTCCTGGGAATGTTGTCAGAGCAACTCTTTGATATTTGAAATGCTAAAGCTCATGTTAGACTTATTTAGATTTCTGGACAGCTACTGCTCAGTCTGAGACTAAACATGTTATGATAAACTTAGAATATTGTGTGGCACTAATTGTTCAATGATTCACCCAGTTGCTTTTGATTAGGCTATTGTTATTTAACTATTTGTTTTGTCTGAAACAAGAGTTGGTTATACATACTGACCTTGTCACCAATGTCTTCTGTTTAAGGTTTTCTTTGACTAGTTGTGGATGTCTTTGTTATGGTGATTGCACTTACCTAACCTTGCAGCATTTATTAAACATGCTTTGAGAACCGAGACCTGAATGTCTTTCTTCTGAGCTTGCGCGGAAGAAAATTAATCACCATTGAAACTTCCTATCTTGCACCTTGGGACACAGTGGGAAAGCAAGCAGTCTATTTATTCCTCTTTAATGTATACAAGGACTTGAATATTCATGCTGTCTACTAACATGTGTGTTGCGTACACGTACTGTACTAGGGAAAAAATACACTGGGGTCCTAAAGCCTCACACCACATTCAAAATCTGGAAATAAACAGACAGTTAATGTTAATTCAGAACATTTAAAGACATTTATTTTTACTATTTTTTGTAAAAAAAAAAATAAATAAATAAATAAAAAGTATTCTTACTAGTGGTTTCAGACTTTTGGACCCACATGTATCGGAGAATTGTACAGTATCTCACTGATTTGGATCATCTTGACAACTGGTGACATTCCCATGCTGATATATCACATACTCTAAGTGCTTCGGTGATCTTGTTGAAACCTGATCGATGTTAGGCAGATGGATCTGATAGATAGTGACACCTTTACATGAATCTGACAGGAGGAAAAACAGAACACACACCCATGCTATACTTGTGCAAATTCTGACATATTCTTATTAATAGCATTCTCTTGTTATTTTAATTGTTTTATAAGGTCTTCTCTTGTATTTTAACAATAAGTTCAGGTTAGGATCCAGATTTTACTTTGGACATCAGAATGCAACTCAACACTTTTATTTGTTGCATATAAGTAAACAAAAATCTGTATCGTATTTACTTTTACCTTTAATGGTTCATGCAACTTCTACCAGGTGAATTTACTCCAAAATATTTTCCCATTGCATTTAAAGGTTAAGCTTATTCACTTCTCTGTCTTAACTATGGATGATTATACAGTTAGTTGCACTTTATTGCTTGCATTTAGCATTGTTTTAAACATCAGAATGAATCTGACCCATTTGAGTCAAGGTCCATAAATTGAAAACTATTTTACATTTATTCATTTAGCTGACATTTTTATCCAAAGTGAATTATAATTGCTATATATGTCAGAGGTCACACACCTCTGGAGCAACTAGGGGTTAAGTGTCTTGCTCGGGGACACATTCATGTCTCACAGTGGATTCGAACCCAGGTCTCTCACACCAAAGGCATGTGTCTTATCCACTGCGCCATCACCACCCCGTTCCATCAAACCACCACCACCCCATCAAAACCACTGGTAAAAACATTGCACTTGACATAAATGCTAAAGGACACATTGTAATCATATCTCACTAGGGTTCAAACCCATCTTAAACCATTCTTCGGATGAGACGTTAAACCAAGGTCCTGGCTCTTTGTGGTTATTTAAAATCCCAGGATGTCCCTGGAAAAAAGAAGGCCTGTAATCCCGACATCCTGGCCAAATTTGCCCATTGGCAATGGTCTCTGTCCATCATCCTCTGAATCATCCCCACAGTACTGATTGTCTTCATCACTCCATCTCCTCCCCAGAGTAGGCTAGTGTGTGGGGGCGATCTGGTGCAATGTGGCTGCTGTCCCATCATACAGATGAATGCTGCACATTGGTGGTTGAGGTGATTCCCCCCTTCAATATGTAAAGCACTTTGATTTTTATTATCACTATTAAATAAATTAAGGCATTTAATGCATGTTCCTGTTTAAAATTTCAAAATGCAGTCTACAGTAAAACAGTATTAGCTGATTATCTGTGGTTTAATATGTGCATTAAAGTATATTAAATGTTTGTATGCACAATAAAGAGTTATCATTAGTAACACCATATTGTTTGGAGAATGACATAGCCGTAGGTTGGAGCCTTAATTGTTCTGCGTGTGAATTGTGCGATTAGTAGCCAGTAACAAACTGTTATTGGGTATTTGTGAGAGCATGGAATCCCCTTGATGATTAATCTAGATGGATGTTCAATCATTCACAGGGCTTTTCAAATAAGTGATGTGTGCTAACTGTGAAACCCCAATTTCCTGAATCCCCCTGGGTTGTAAATCAGTCATGTAACCAGTACTGCTCACCTAATTGGCTTCCATTTAAGGCTGGAGGCACATGGGCTGCAATCTGCAATTCACCTTTGAACTTTAATGTGAGAAGAGATACACAGTACATTGTGATGATTATAATAAAGATGATAGAGAAAAAATAAAATCACAGGCTTAGTTAAGAATATCATGGTCTCTATTTTGCATAAAAATAAGCTTGTAGCCACAAAAGTGCTCTGCACTTGGGTTTTCTTGGGTAAATGAACCATCAATAATAGTTCCAGTGGACCACAGGAACATGCACCTGATGTCACTGATGTTTCAATGGCAAACCCAATTAACTAGTGTGCCGTTTGAGCACACAACATATGTTTGTCTATAATCTGATTTAGAAAGCACTTCAGAAAGTATCATTAGTAGCAAAAATCATACGCTTCCATATCATAATCTGGCTTATGTGGATCCCTTCTTAGCACACTCAAGTTTAATTTAAAGGTGCAAAATGAGAAGAATTGAGGTAATGAACCAAATCATCCACGAATATGTCATCTACATCTTTAGCTAGTCTTCTTTTGCAATATTGTTTTTCAATTGGTGTTCAAAGTAAAAAAAAATAATTTTGAACAAAAACTTAACAGACCCACTGTGAGCTGAGGTTGTTAAATGGATAGTTCACTTTGAAATTAATTTTTGAAATGTTTCAGCTTACCTCAAGGGCATCCAAGATGTATGCGTCTTTGTTTCCACAGTATTTTCAGTTTTGACATTTTTTGGTCAAACCGTTGTTGTCTATATCAGTCATATAATGCAGGTTTAGGGGGTCCACCTCAAAGAGCATGCACAGAGAAGTCAAAATTAAACATGATTTAATGACGAGCATGAAGCTAAAATGATTTGATTGGTGTATCACATCATAAAATGGTCATATTTAAAATAAAACTTTTATTGATATCATCGTTTTCCATCTTTATAAGCCTCAGATCCTGTAATGTAGCTCCAAAAGAAAAGTCATTAGTAACTAAGCACACTGGCGTTATATAACACTGCTCTGAATGCAACCATGGCTGATAAGCAAATATAGAATGACTCCCCAAATTGTTTTTGATAAAGTGTGTAGGTGGAGAATAATCAGAAAATATGAATGTTTCTTTCCCACTCAATATTGTTTGGTATAGTTCATTGGTTTATTATAGATGCTAATTTAACCGATTTAGCACTTAGCAACAGATGCTAGAACAGGGTGAATCACCTCAGCGAAAACTTTTCTCAGTTTGATTAATGCTTGTGTATATCATATATGATTGTCCAACCTAAGTTCTTGCTTTGTTGATAAATTAATCAACAGAGCAAGATTAATTGTACGTTTTGAATGCTTCTTATTGTGAATTCTTCTAAATGTGAATTTTGTCATTGTTTTGGTGTACACTAGCTTATATATTACAGTAAGGCTAATATATTAACTTACATTTTAATGTCATTGGGACTTGACAGTACTTGCTTGCTATAAGATAGCTCAAACCTGCATTTAAGTCTGGGACTATAGGCCTATGTCACGAACAAAATTAAGACAGGAAGTATGTCTTTTAGTTGGGATACGGCTCTTCCGGTTAGCTTTTTACAATGGTGGAGTCCGATAGATACCGCTGGACCAAATCTCTCCGCAACCTGCCTGAAGTCACATGCACTCAGCTCTACCTCAGTAGTATTACCAGAACCAGTAAGATTTTAAGACTTGCGCGTGAATTAAGAGAACAGGTGCATCAAGCTGCGAAATGCAGCGGCCAGGATTTAAGGGAATCCCCACGATGCCTGCGCTACTAAAGCGCCCTCCGTCTCGTGGCAGATCGGCCTCGTGGAATGATCTGAGAGCACAGAGTTTGGCTCAGTTTTGCACATCACAGAGATCACGCTGTTAAATAATTCATAATGCTGGCTGTAATTAGGAAGCGGTGGGGCCCACAGAACACAGCAGTTACTGGAAACACTTCCCTCTTCACCCTTGACAGTTCCTCTACCCCTGAGTGCCAGATCCTTGATTAGCAATGTGAGCCATTAGCACAGTCTCGCCGTCATAAAATTTCAGGTTGCATTAGGTAAACATTGACGAGTTCTAACTGCGGTCAATTTACAAAACGAATGCTTCTAATAACATCTAAAACACCCTGTCGCCGATAAGAGCATTCCTTTTATGATCAACAAAGCTGGCTATAGTCTGTCCGCAAGCTGTTATTAGCAACATTTGTTTCATGTCTAAGAGGAAAAGGTTTTTTTTTTACATAAGCTACACCATTTTGCAAGAAGTAAACAACACTGGTCCAGAAGCACTTCCTGTTTCATTTTTTTAACACTACACAAAAGCTGGGATAAAATACAACCAACAGAACATGTAAAACTGAATCAAAAAGTTAAACAAACATCTAGATGTTTTCTTTACATGCGAAGTAAAGAAAACAGTTACAAACTGAAACAGTGTTTCTGGACCAGTGTTGTTTACATCTAGCAAAATGGTCTATAGTGTCAAAGTTCTGTGGTTATGATGTGAGACAGCCCAACCCAGACAGCAAACTGACATTGAATCAACGTGGAAACGACGTCTCTCATGACATTGAAACAACGTTGATTTTGCTCATCGAATTAACGTTGAACCAACGTCAGACGCGGCATTCTTCAAAGCTTAATGAAAATCGAAAATTGGTTTGCTTTCATAACGTTGAAACAACGCGTTGATTTCAAGTGGATTTTCCGTTAGTTTTGAAAGAATGACGCGTCTGACGTTGGTTCGACGTTAATTCGATGAGCAAAACAATGTCAGATCAACGTTGTTTCTATGTCATATTTCCACGTTGATTCAATGTCAGTTTGCTATCTGGGAAAGATGCTATTAGTGCTACTTGCTAAGCTAATATGCTAATATTACTCTTGCTCATACTTTGTTAGGGTTAGTGGTTTGTTTAAATCCCTAACTTTATTAAACTTAAAAAAAAGACAAGAAAGTAACTCATATATTATTTGGAAAATCTATCATTTTTGCTCAATTGATAAATATTTGAGCTTGAGTGCTAAACATATTTAAAATATGTTTGCTTTTAAATTTCAAATACTTGAATGTTAAATACATTTGGTGATACTAATATAAATAGTGAAAGGAAAATGAAGGTATTAGAATAAACATAAAAAAGTGTTTTCTTAATTCACATACATTCTAAAAAATGCTGGGCTGTTTCAACCTAAATTTGAGTCTTTCACATTTTAACCCAACATTTGGGTTTGTCCATATTTGACCCAAATTTGGGTTGAAACAACCCAGTATTTTTTAGTATACTTGAGTGACAAAAAATTAGTCATATAAATATAAAGCTATTTGCTTAATTTATATGCTTGAAGCAATTTTTTTGATAGTAAATGTTTAATAAATAAGCTTAATTTGCTTAATTGTCGAGTACTTGAAGACCAAATATAATTTTTTATATTTATATAAATATTTAACTTTTTAAATAATAAATGGGTTTAAAAGTGTGCTGTAGTATCAAAAAAAATATATTGAGAATTGTGAAATTTCAGTGCTAGTATCAATTACTGAAATTCTATTTGTGACAAACCTACAAAAATACTTTTTTAAATTCTTGCACTCTAAAAAATACTGGGTTGTTTCAACCCAAATTTGGGTCAAATATGGAACAACCTAAATGTTGGGTTAAAAATGTAATTTAAAATTTTAACCCAACTTTAACTTTCAGCTGTAAATTTTTTACCCAACATTTGGGTTTGTCCATATTGGACCCAAATTTGGGTTGAAACAACCCAGCATTTTTTAGAGTGTGGAGGATGATAAAAATAAAAAAAAATCCCAAATTTACATGGTTTACATTTATATTGCCCACAATCATAATCAGGGATCGAATATCATAACTTGGAGGCCCCAAGTGACAACCCAGTTACAGTCATGCTGATGAGGAGAGGTAATTACCCCTTTATTAAATCTAATTTATTAATAATTTTAAAAAAAGTTTAATTTTTTTAAATTGCATTTTAAATATGTCCAGAAGCAATGCACCGCTGCATTCCTGATCCTAACCCTTTTGAGTCTTCCTGACTTGCTTTAGCTGCTCTTTCTTCAGCAATCAGCTCTCCCACCCAGGCCCAGCTGTCAGTAATTGTGATCTCCACCTGATAACTGGCAGGAACATCTTTTCTATCATCAGTCCTCGTACCCCGACTCCGGTAAAAAGCACAGCATGACGAGTATAATTTTAAAAGTTTAGACCCCCTCGCACAGATCTGAACCCAGGTCGCTCCACACGTCAGGAAGCCTGAGTGCAGCAGGACACTGATTAAAGAGGCATCAATCATCTTTTCTTGCAGATTGCATTTTTTTTTTCTCCCACTTTTGTCAGGGAGCTCTGTATAGGATATTTTACCCTAGACTGATTTCGGAGCAGACGAGCATCAGTCATGTGTGGTCGGGCCTGGTGAGGGCAAGAAAGGGAATCATTTGAGCGAAAATTACAACCTTCATCTTTGATCTCTCTCATTCAGGGAATGCCTTTGTACATCCAACAAAAAACCCTAAAACGTTCTAAAGCAGCCTGACTAAAATTTAACTTCATCTTCACAGACAGAAATTTCAGAAAGTACAAACAACACTCCTAAAGTGCAGTATACGGCTTGCTAGCAATACTCCGCAAACACACCGGATGTAAATACAGTTATTTTTGATTGATAACGTTTCAACACCAAATGAGGTTAAACACTAAAACATTAGGTTAGTTTTATTGTAATGGTAATGATTTTTTACCCATTGTGTTTTTATTGCTTTCTGTACTTATTTAACCCTTGTGCATCAAGGGTTATAGAGGACAAAAATGTCCATAGAGGATGCACAAGGGTTAATATCTTTTATCTGAATCAGTTTGCAGGCTTTCTTTAAAACAAATCAAATAAATAGAAAAGATGTGGCTCCGTGAAATCTTAAAACAGTTATTTTAAATTGTAATAATCTTACACAATATGTTGTTACTGTATTTTTGATAGTGAGCAGAAGAGACTTTTTAAAAGAAAATAACATTGAAAAAAATCGTACCGACCCCAAACTTTTGATAGAACTTTTTTGAAACTAACTTTTTTTTTGCTTTAAATCATAAATCATGACTCGAGTCTGCAATGCATTTCTTATATATTTTTATACAGTACGTTTTTACAATAAAATACCACAAAATAGACCCCATGCACTACACTTCAAACAATATTAGTGTATTACAATGTGTTCTACAGATACATAAAACATGACAATGTCAAAAATACTTGCCTCTCAACTAAAGTTTGCAACAAAAGCGGAACAATGTTCAAGGCTCGATTGATAACCAAACACTGCTCACACACACACACACACACACGGTCACTTCACATGCAGTGGACTTGACACTCTTCTTCCATCCAGGAAATCTTACATCTAAGGTGTCCTGCGTGTTTACTGCATTGAGTGTGTGCACACATTTAAAGTGACCTTAAACAGAACCGAGAGATCTCTTGCGCTTTCCCTTTCATTAAAGTTGTGAACTGGACTTTGTCGGGTTTCTCCATGGCTGATATTTCACGGTGTCCATTACGGGGATGGAGGTGTCCTCAGGGAATTACAGGAGTCTTGGCTACCGCCGGTCGTGGTCTGAACAACCCACTGCCGGAGAGAAAAATGAGGGTTAGCAGAGGACAACTCAAATCAGATCAGA